ACCGGAGAAAAAAAAAAAAAAAAAAAAAAAGAATTATAAAAAAAAAAAAATGGAGTTTTAAAAACTGGCTCTGAATATGGGGTGCTTACACGAAGAAGTTCATAGTGAACAACAACAAAAAGATGCCACGGCAGAAAGACAACATGTGTTGGGTCCCAAATGCCCCCTGCAGGAGGGAGGATAAGCTCAGTGTCATCCCAGATATATTACAGAGCTCGTCATAAAGTGCACATTGTGACCTCCTTCATGTAGCCTGCCTGGAAAGTCATCATCCTGTCCTGCCCAAATGGCCTAAACTGAATGTGCGATCCACAGGGACAGGTTCCTTTGTCTTTCTTCTTTAAGTGGACTTCCATGTAGATGTCTCAAAGACATCTGACCAGAATAAGCCTGAAGCTGAATTCAACTTTTCCATATAAGCCAATCTCTTCCCAAGGCTTCCCTATCTCTAAATAACCTCCCATTTCCACAGTGCTACGGCTTATGCACCCAAAAATTCATGTGTTGGAACATTCATTCTCAGTGCTACAGTGTTGGGAGGTGGGGTCTGGTGGGAGGTTTTGGGTCGGTGACAGAGCACTTATGAGTGGATTAATGCCTTTCTCTTGGGAACAGCAATGGGCTAGCCACTGTGGGAGTTTACCTCCTTAGTCTTTCTTGTACACATGGCTTTCTCTCTGCTTTTGACTTCTGCAGTGTTATGAAGCTGCACAAAGCCCTTGCAGAGTCCAGACCCCTAATCTTGGGCTTTCTACCCTCAGACACCTGAGCCAAAGCAAACCTCTTTCTTTTATAAATTACGCAGTCTCAGATATTCTGTTATAGCAACAAAATGGACTAAGGTACCTGGTTACTGAAACCAAAACCCATGTATTATTCCACCTCTCCTATGATACACAAATCCATTTGTTTTTTTTTCCTATCCACCTTCTCTGTATTGATCAGCCTTCTCATTCCTGGGACAAAATACCTGGCACACACAATTTAAGGAAGATAGGTCGGGCATGGTGGTGCACACCTGTAATCCCAGCACTTGGGAGGCTGAGGCAGGAGGATCGTTGCGAGTTCAACACCAGCCTGTGCTACAAAGTGAGCTCAAGGCCAGCCTAAACTGCATAGCGAGACCTTGCCTCAAAAAGGCAAAAAAAAGAAAAAAAGAAAAAGAAAAAAAAACAATTTAAGGAAGAAAGATTTATTCTGGCTCATAATTTCAGAGGGTTCAGTCCATGGTTGCTTGGTTATAAGGCAAAAACATTATGGTGGAATGGTTGAGCAGAGGAAAGCTGCTCAACTCGTGGCAGCCAGAAATAGAGAGAGCAGGAAGAGCCAGAGAGAAAGGGGGGCGGGGAGAGAGAGAGAGAGAGAGAGAGAGATCGCCCAAAGACATGCCCCTGTGACCCATCTACTCCAACAGGAACTCCTACTAGCACATTCTACTGTGAACTTACCAATGGATCAATCCACTGATGAGAATAGTGCCCCCCATGGTCCAGTCACCTCCCCCAAACTCCTTCTGGACAAATGAAATTTTGGGGGGACATTTTTGTTGTATTACTGTGGGAGCTGTGCCTCTCCAGAAAATGGGCTGCAATGTGAAGTGGTGATGGAGGGTTTAAACTCCACACACCGGTAGGCCTGGAGGGGTGGCACACATCAGGAGGAGCCCAGGGTCTAGAAAATAAATTAGGGCAATAATTGAGGACAATCCAGCACTCAGGAGAACTATTGGGATGCTGTTCTAGTAAAATCAACCTATAAGGTCCTGGTTCCCATAGTACTTTGAGGTCCAGAAGAACTGGGTTGGAGTAAGGTCCTGCTATTAATCAGTTTGCTCTTGGGGAAATGACGCTAAGACCCACTTTCCAGGACGGAGATTCTCACACCTTAACAGCATCAGAATCACCATGGTGCTACTCGTAGACTTGCTGATTCAGTAGGTGAGCACTACATGTTTGCATTTCTAACCAATTCCACGGTGGTTATGATGCTGCTGCTCATTGCAGGGACCCTAAAAACCACTGTTCTAAGACATCCAAAAGTCTGAAGTGAAAGACTTGACACTGTTCCTAGCACAAGGCAACCGAAAGCCTGTACTGCTACAGTTTTTCTACCCGGCAGAGGCCTTCTCCCAGGACCCCGATCCACGCAGCACAACCCAGAGACCACCAAGCCTTCACCGCAGCGCGCAGACGCAACTCCAGCGCGAGGGGGCGTGGCAGCACCGGTGGGCGGAGCAGTACCGGTGGGCGGAGCAGTCTGTGAGACCGTGGTGAAGGGTGGGGCCAGGCGTGCATACTGCTGCGCCTGCGTGAGGAAGCAGAGGGCGTGGCTCCGGCTCCCGGCCGGAAGCAAGAGGCTGCAGAGGCGGGCCGGCTGGCGTCCCCTTTCCGGCCGGTCCCCATGGAGGCGCTGGGGAAGCTCAAACAGTTCGATGCCTACCCCAAGACTCTGGAGGACTTCCGGGTCAAGACCTGCGGGGGCGCCACGGGTAGGCCGCAGCGGGGCCGGGGTTGAGGGGAGCGGGGTGACCTAGAGCTTGGCCCGGGCGCGCCTGGACTGTGAACGGCCTGCTGGTGTCTGCGAGAGTGGAACAGAGGCCATTCTGACCCTCGCTCCCGCCCTGCAGTGACCATCGTCAGTGGCCTTCTCATGCTGCTGCTGTTCCTGTCCGAGCTGCAGTATTACCTCACCACCGAGGTAAGGGGCGGGGCCTCGCACGCCGGCGGGGCGGGGCATTCCAAGGTAGGACCTTGGGGTGGGCGTGGGGCAGGAGGGGCGTGGGCCCCAGTCCCACTGATGCAGCGCTGCCACAGGTGCATCCTGAGCTCTACGTGGACAAGTCACGGGGAGATAAACTGAAGATCAACCTCGATGTCTTTTTCCCGCACATGCCTTGTGCCTGTGAGTACCTCATCAAGGGTGGGAGTGGGAAACCCCAAGGTTTCCAGGTGGGCTTCCAGATCCTCACGTCCAGCCTTAGATTCTGGACTGGAACCCAGGACAACCTCCTTCCCCTAGTCCGGTTCTGGCTCCTGTCGGGCCAAAAGACAGGTTCTTTTCCTCCGAAATCCAGACCTCCCCGCCCTAGAGTCCTGGTGTTTAAACTTGACTTCCTGCTTCTAGATTTGAGCATCGATGCCATGGATGTGGCAGGGGAGCAGCAGCTGGATGTGGAACACAACCTGTTCAAGCAACGACTAGACAAGGATGGCCTCCCCGTGAGCTCACAGGCTGAGCGGCATGGTAACCAGGGTGGGGGCTGGGTCTCAAGTCCTAGAGCCGGACATGCCCAAGTCTTACCTTCTGGCAAGAGGACTGTGGCAGGCTCATTGACATTAAAGAGTTAATGCCTACAGAAATCAACTCACTTGCCCACAGTACACAACTGTTGAGAATCAGAGGCTGGGCATGGGGGCACACACCTGTAATCCCAGAACTTGGGAGGCTCAGGCAGGAGAAGTGCTGCAAGTTCTGGGCCAGTTTAGTCTATATAGTAACTTCAAAGGCAGTCTGAACTACGTACCAAGACCCTGTCTCGAAAAACCAAGAAAGCATTAGAGTGGAGCCAGCCATGGTGGCATGCTCCTGTAATCCCAGCTATACTCAGGAGGCTGAGGCAGGATAATCAAAAATTCTACCCCAGCCTGGGCAACTTAAGGAGACCCTGCCTCAAAATAAAAGGCTGAGGATGTAGGTTTGTGCTACAGTACTTACCTAGACTACACAAGACTCTTGATTGAATCTCTGGTACTGAGGGAAAAACCAAAACGGAGCACATGTGTCTAGCCTTTATGTTTTGAGTTGGGTACTTAACCTGCCTTTCATTCTGTTTATTATAGTTGAGTAACAGAAGCTTGAGGATGGGCCTGGCGTCCTGAGTACTTACTTCCCCAGCCCCCTGGCTGCATTCAGCCGCCAGTATTCTTCTTTTTGGAATGCAGGCAGTCCAAGGTTAATGTTTAAGTTCCCAAGGTCTAGTTTTGTCTCTTGCAGTCTGTGCTCCTCAGCTATGAAGTGGTGATAAACAGTAGTACCTTATCCCATGATTAAAGGGTCATACAAAACAGAGGTGATTTCCTAGTTATAGTTGTCTGGCCTAAGAGTTTTTTGACTTGATGATGGTACAAAAGTGTATCTTTACAGCTGTTCTAGTCATCACTTTCAGTACAGTAGTCAGTAAATAACTACAGGTGTTCATTAATTTTTATAAATTCTTTTAGGCTTTGTGTTAAATGGTTTTACCCAATTTTAGGCTCATGTAAGTAATCTGAGGTAGGAGAGGCTGTATTATGATATAGTTTAGGTGTATTAAATGTTTAAGATAGAGGCTGTGTTATGATATTGTATGCATTTTAATGCATTTTAAATTTACCATATTTAACTTATTTCTTCTTTCTTTTCTTTTTCTTTGAGACAGGGTCTTGCTATATAGTCCAGGCTGGTCTTGAACTTATGGCCAACCTCCTGCCTCACATATTTTAATTTATAATGGTTTATCAATACTTAACCCCATCATAGGTTGAGGAGCATCTGTAATATGTATAAAGTAAACCATAGCCTCCTTTCATTTCTCTGAGTAGCTTCCTATAGCAAGCACTGTGTGTCGTTATTCAGCCTCAGATCCATCTTCACAGAGTCACTGTGGAGATGAAATGAGACGATGTGTGTGAAGTACAGTGATCTATATGTACGTAATATTTATCATTTACTGTTAACGCTTGTGTGTGTGTGTGTGTGTGTGTGTGTGTGTGTGTGTGTTACAGGTGATTGAACAACATCTCAGCCCTTTTTTTCCCTTAAAGACAGGGCCTGGGCCAGGGATGTAGCTCAGCGGCATAAGCGCTTGCCTGGCAAGCCTGAGGTCATGAGTTCAGTTCCCGGTACCAAAAAAAAAAAAAAAAAAAAGACAGGGTCCTACCAAGTCACTTGAGTTGCCCAGGCTGAGCTTGAACTTGCAGTCCTCCTGCCTTGGTTTCCCACAGTGCTAGGATTACAGGCATGGATTGCCAGGCCCAGCCTTACTATTACTTTTTATTAAAATGTGATACAGATAGATGTAGATACAGATACGTAGAAGTGCTTCATGTCCAACCTATAGTACGTAGTATGTAAATGTTAGCTGCTGTTTTAACTTCAGGGTCCCCAACCTGATGGCCAGGCGACCTGTGCAGGAACTAGGGCTAGAGATGTTGCTCTCTGTGCCCCCAGTTGATGCCTGTGCCCTTGCCCTTGCCCTTCCCTTAGAGCTTGGGAAAGTCGAGGTGATGGTGTTTGACCCAGCTTCCCTGGACCCTGACCGCTGTGAGAGCTGCTATGGTGCTGAGTCGGAAGACATCAAGTGAGCCACACCTGGGGGCGGAAGCGGGATTCCCGTCAGATGCTGT